CTTGGAATTGGGGTTAAAGGTACTAGTATACCAAGATCTTCCATGACTTTCACACCCCAGAATTTATAGAGTGCTTGTTTGGGTCACATTCTGTGCTAAACACTTTAAATGAAAATATCATGAATGTATCATTACAGAGCAAGATCATTGTTATATTCTCTGTTTTTTTTTTTTTTTTTTTGATAAAGTGAGGCTTACAAAACAATTTTCCTAAGGTTGCATCACTGTTAAGTGATAAATTGAGAGTCAAACCAGAATCTAACTTCAAAGCCTATTCCACGTAGAATGACATGAGACTTTCTAGGAAGACACACTCAAACCAGAATCCTGAAATTTTCCATGTAAAGATTAACTTCTTGGCTTTGCAGAAGCTTTTTAACGGAGATGGCATCCTGCTTGGATTGTTGGCTTTATTTCTTGCACATGGGGGTCTTGTTAAAGAAGCCAATGCCAGCCCCTATATGATGGAGTGCTGACCCTGTGTTTTCTTGTAGCAGTTTCAAGATTTCTGGTCTAATTCCTAAGTCTTTGATCCGTTTAGAGTTGCCTTTTGTGATGGGTAAGAGATAGATTTTTCTACTTACAGTGCTCCAGTTTTCCCAGCACTATTTGTTAAAAAGCCTGTCTTTTCTCCAAGATACATTTTTGGTCTCTGTGTCAAATATCAGGTGGCTACAGGTTTATCAACTTGCCTCTGTGTTTTCTATTCTGTTCCATTACTTTTCTTGCCTATTTTAACGCCAACACCATGCTGGTTTTGTTACTACAGCTCTGTCGTATAACTTCAGAGCAGGTCTTGTGATGCCTCCTGCTTCACTTTTCTTCTTAGTATTGCTTTGGCTATTCTGGGTCTCTTATTCTTCCAAATGAATTTAATTTTTTTTCTAGTTCTGTGAAGAATGTCATGGGCTTTTTGATGGGGATTGCACCAAATCTGTAGATTGTTTTTGGCAGTACGGCCAACTGGACAATATTGATTCTGTCTATCCAAGAACAAGGGATGTCTTTCCATCTTCTAAGGTCTTCTTCAATTTCTTTCTTCAGTATTCTATAATTTTTATTATAGGGGTCTTTGACTTCCTTGGTTAGATTAATTCCCAAGTATTTATTTATTTATTTATTTTGAGACTATTGAGAATGGGATGGTTTGCATTCTGTTTGGAGGTTGAAGGAAAGAACTTTTTTGCTTTTAGAGGCTGCCTGCATTTCTTGGCTTGTGGCCCCTTCTTCCACCTTCAAAGCCAGCAGCATAACATCTGTCCATCATTCTCAACTCTGCCCACACTGTTCTGCTCCCTCTTTTACATCTAGGGACCCTCGGGATTATATTGGGTCACCCAGAAAACCTCCATTTCAAACCCTTAGCTCAATCCTGTCTGCATGCAAGGCACCATATTTACAAGCTCTGGGGATTAGGATGTTGATGTTTTGGGGTGCATGATTCTGTCCATCACAGTGTCTAGAATGGACATCAGGGTCAGGGGACTGAATTCCGATCTTAGTGCTACCAATGAGGAACTCTAGGTGCCTTGGGACACTTCTTAGCCTCTCTGGGCCATTGTTCCCTCCTGGTGACTGTGTAGACTTTGCTAGGACACTCTGTTTGAGAAAGAGCCTACACACAGTGAGACGTGGCTCCTGCTAATTAAAACCCGGATGGTTTTACACTCCTGCAAACGACACCATAGCGTTTATTTAAGGCCCCTTCTGAACATGTCATTAGTCCTTCTAATGCTATTCTGCAGGCCCTCGGCCGATTTCTCCTCATCATCCTGCATTTGCTTACACCTTGCCTACAGAGCGTGCAAGTTTTCAATTTCTCATTTTAAATAGGGGGCTCTGGTTCGGCAGCGTGGCTGATGCATTAAATACCCACAGCCAAATTGCTTAACGCCCAGGTTTTTTATCCCCTTCAAATTAAAGCTTTTAAAACACCCAGACTCCGTGCTGGCTGAATGACACAGGCTTTCTGCCGGCTCCGGGGGGCAGGCGATACTGGCTCCTGTCAAGTTCTAAATCTGGATGCTTTTTTATAGTGGAACAACTAAAAGGAATTGCTGCCTTACAATATATAACTACTACTTATTATAGATTGATCCATTTTGCAGTAGGGAGGTGGAAGGCAGAGAGCTGCAGGAAGAACAGAACCAGTCTCAGGCCTGAGAGCAAGTAACCTTCTAATTGCCTTCTCCATGACAGCATCATAAGCCTCTTTATGGCGGCTTTATTTCACAGTGACCTGCCACACGGCTGTAATTTTCCCGGTGTCACTCATGCAGGTTTAAAAAATGATTGGTTTTATGGCTTTTATTTGGGAATTTGTCAAGGTTTCACATCCGTGGGAGCCTTGAAGCAGTGGCTAATAGTCCATAATTTGGTGTTTAAGGGGATATCGGTGGGTAACCTGCTTGGGCCCACAGGTGCCCAGAGTGATCTCATCCTTATGCCCTGTGGGGGGATCTCCACCCTATCTTCCACACCACAGTAAACCTTTGCTCTCAGGAGCCTGTCTTCCAGGCCTCCTGGCCTCCTGAGGAGGGAAAGAAGGCTTTCGAGTACCACGATCAGGTTGATGTGCGAACCTAATTCCCATGAAGTGTACTTCAGGTGTTGGTCAACCTGGACTCGGGCCCGTGTGCCCTGGCCATGGGGATGGACATGCCCCCTTGTGACTCACAGTCTGGAAATGAAAAGCACTGGATCCCGAGCCTCCTCTGTCTCTCCTTAGGATCTCGAAGCCCCTAACAGATGTTTTTAAAAGCCTCAATTTTAAGGACTGCCTTGGCCTCCTGCCACTGTGTGTCCTGGGAGGTTTGATGGGAATCAGTGCCTCTCAACCTCTCCTCCTACGGGGAACAGCTGGTCTCCTGGTGCAGTTGCTGGAACGTACGGGCCGGCGATGTTGTACACACACACACACACACACACACACACCATCCCTGGCTCCCTGTCCCTTGCCTGGACTGGCCTTGGTCCTGCATTCCTGCTGGTGGCTGTTACAGCCAGCGTCCCTCTCCGTGGGCTTCTGCACAGCCGGGGCTGATCCGAGCAGCGGGTGGTTTCTCTGCAGTGACCTGTGCCTGCTGGAGATGGATGGTGGCGTTTGCTTTCATCGTGTGTCCACACTGCCTCATGAGCTCACTCGTGGCTGTCACAGGAAGAGCAGAATGCTTCCCAGAATAAGCCTCGGGTATTATCTTTGAACATATGTTCTTGATTAAATGAGAAGAGGAAAGACTCTTCGTTTTTCCCATTTGGAGGTTAAAGTGGAGGGTTTGTCTAAAAACAGATTGCAGTAAATTGTGGGTTTATTTGAACAGTATGTCAACATTATTTACTCATGGAAAAAAAAAATCTCAAATTGATAGGTTTCTTTTAATTACCTCATCCAGAAAGCTGCTCTCAACAAACAGCAAATATTTCAGAAGCCATTTGGAAAAGTCTGGAAATGCCGAATTACTGGAAACCTGCCGAGAATAATACCTTTGAAATGTTTCCGTAGTTCTGAGTATGAGAAAACCTGGTCAGGAAACAGCTCGCCTCGCAGCAAACTGGGCACTGCCTCCCTGACCCCCCAGGCCTCCTCACAAAAGCTGGCTGGCAAGATCCTTGCCTAACACCGGTCTGGCCACCCTGGGAAACGGTCTTTCTCCCGAGCTAGACCTGAGCGTCCACCACTCAGTCCAGAGCGACGATGTTTAACCCCACAGCACTAAGATCTCGCTCTTGAGTCTGTCCGGACACACACAAGCAGTAATGGAGAGAGTTCTAGGTAGACCCAGGGAGGTCATCTAGCAAATCCAGTCCAAAGCACATGTGACCAGACAATGTGTTGTGACTTCATGGCTGGGTGTCACGAGATGAAATGATCTCAGGGCCCAAATCTTCTGGGAGGAGAAAGGCTGCAGAGGAGAAATGGACTCTAAGCTCTTATGGAAGCCAGGGGCCCTCACGTGCCCTTAGGCTCCCGGCCTTTGTGGCCTCCTTTTCAAGACCACTTTTGATATTTGCTCTGTGTGTATGTGTGTGGGGGTGGGGTGGGGTGCTAGAGGGGTGATGGTGTGCTGGCAGAGAGGGCCTATGAGCCAGAGGTTGGGTGGATTTGGGGCCTGCACACTGAGTCACTATGGGTCTGCTGGGTGCACCTGGTCACCTTCCCCCATTTCAGGTAACGTCTCGTTGGGAACATAAACTAAGTATCTCATTAAGAGCATTTCATCTGAACAGACGTGTGCAGGGATGGTTGTGGGGCTGTGTAGCTGATAAAGTTGTGCTGGTTGCTAAATATCCAAGTCTCTAGCACTTGGTGAGTCACCACCTGAGACCTGCTGAATACCCTCCCTTGCGGTAGGAGTGTTCTGGTCCTTGCTTCTAGGACCCTCTTGGAGACCTTCCCTAAATCCAACCACTAAAGGCTTACTGCCTGGCACTGTGGGTCCTCCAGGACCTGACTGGTTCCCCAGCTGGCCTTGGAGCCTCGCCAGCGGTCCGAATTCTGACTCCCAGCCCTGGGCATGTGTGCAGCCTGAGCCTAGGAGAGGCTCCCCTGGTGCCTGACCCCGTGTGACCCTCAGGCAGCCAGAGCCCCTGCTCCCTGGCTCATGGTCCAGTTTCTGTGGAAGAGGTTAGACGTCCATCAATGGGACTAGCCAGGCAAGGCTCCCAGTCCCACCAACACAATCACTGCCTAAGAGACGTTTGGAGTCATTCTGGAGAGCAAAGCTTTCTTCTTCCTGTCCTGACAATGCTTCTCCTCTACACGCCATGTCCTCACCGAGTCCTCACCGTGGACGCCAGTCTAGGAGCAGAATATGCCCTCCCAGTCCCAGCTCCAACACTTACTAACCCCACGACCTTGGGCCAGGGACGTGACCTCTCTGCACTGCAGTTGCTCCTTCTGGAGAGCGTGGATGTTGAGCTCAATTCCTTCCAGCTGTAACAACAGACCATTTTCAGTTCTTAAATTTCTGTTTATTAGCCCATTCATTCTAACAATGGGTATGCCATTTATGCTTCAAGAAGAAGGAAAAAATGATCTGCAGATGGATAATACTTGAACACAGCTTAGGAGAAGGAGGAGACCAAGTGCTCCATGCGGTCAGAGAGGGGAGGTAGAGGCGCGGGGCGGGGCTGGCTTTCTCCATCCCTGCTACGTCAGTCAACGCAGGTGAGCTCTCTGGCCAGGTTCAGTCCATCGGACTTCATGCTGATGGGGACATGACCACCAATTCAATTCAACTCCTGCTCCACCCCGCCAGGCCCTCTGTCTTGTGGTCCTGCCCTAGCAACCATCTTTAAAGATGTGCTGTCACTCATCCAGGGCCGCTAAAAACTATGTCAAGGTTAGTTTCCCTATAAATTATCAATGAATATAGTAATAAGTTGTGGGGAAACTAATCTTGACATACAAGCAACAATACTTGACAGGCAGCATTGTAATTTATGGTATTTGCAAAGTTTCTGACTTTGTGACTCACTTTCAGTGTTGGTAGTTATAACTCATATATTAATTTTTAAATGATTCTTTAAAAGTTGTAGCTTCTCAAACTGTAATTCAATTTTAGTGTTGTAGAGGTAATTCTGAGGGGAAGGCAGGAGAAGAAAAGCCCCAACCCCTAACTTTGGAATACATATTGGTCACACTGTAGGATCTAATATGTAGAACTGCATCTCATAGATTTTATTATCAACCTCTCCCTATGTGGAGATGACACTTGGTCCTATGACACCGTCAGCATTGCGGAGGGTGACTAGGATTTAAACCCCAGACTCGGGAGAGACAGAACAATTTATAGATGGGCGTGTGATGCAGTTTTCTGGGAAGTTTGGGTTCTGGCTGGCCTGTATGTGTCTAAGTGCTTGGTCTTTTTTTTTTTTTCTTTTAATATTTATTTTTTAGTTGTAGATGGACACAACACCTTTATTTCACTTATTTATTTTTATGTGGTGCTGAGGATCGAACCCAGGGTCTCTCACGTGTGAGGCGAGCGCTCTACCGCTGAGCCACAACCCTGGCCCCTAAGTGCTTCAGTCTCGATAAACATATGGTTGTTTTGGGGTCACCCAGATTGGTTTTTAAGGAAGTAAATTTTTAATCTAGATTCTCATCTCTTTGCTCTATTTCTCTTTGGCTTCCCTGCTTGTACCCATAAACAAAGGTCCCAGTAGGCTTGAACTCCATCCAGTTCAGTGTTAGGAATGCAGCTTTGTTCACAAGCAGCACAGCAGACACTTAAAAAACTTGAAGCTGAAACTTTTAATATGTTTGAATCAGGAAATCCTAGGATTTGTCGCTATTAAGCACTCTTCTTAGCTTAAGAGCTAAAATATTGATGAATGTCACTTCTAAATGCATGTACTAAATTCAAGATCTATAAATAATTGCCAAAGTACAACATGAATAAGTTCACGTGCCTTCAGCAATTTGGTCTCGTGCTGAGGATTTGTCAATCACTGTTGTGATAACATTTGAGATTTGGCCCAAATTTTCCCATAATACCAAACTTACCAGCCCACCCCCATCCTCCTTCATATATGTGTGCATACAGGAACCAACAAGACCCCGTGGTAAAATCAAAGCCAGATACTTAGGGCTCAGCAATGATGGAGAATCTGTACCTTCAGAGACAGACAGGCTTCCTGGCCGACTTGTCCTCAGGATTCCTCTTCTTGGGGGTGACACTGTTGTCATGACACTGTTGTCCCACATTCATTCCTGTGGGACACTCCTCCAAAACTGTTCAGGGCCCACAGTGGACTCAACTGTCTCCTTAATTCTCCAAAGCACATAACAGAGCTATGACTAAGCTGGAACTTATAAAAATTTTAGGCACCAAAACCTTTGGGAAGAGCAAAGGGAAATAAACACCGAGCGCCACGTAAAAGCAGATGATCTGGTTCGCCCTATTCAGGTCGGCACCCTGTTCCAGCCTCCGTTGGCAGACACCTCCCACCTCTAACCGCTGGCGAGGGCCTTGAGCGATCCCAGAGAGTGATGGCAATTTCCTCCCCACTGGGGATATCTACGCCTTTGGTGGCCCTTCAAACCCTACCTGGCACAGCCTTATACTGTAAGATCTGAGTGGATCCAGGCTGCTCGAAGCCCACAGGACACAGACAAGTCTAAGGAGTGTTCACGTTTGGGCCCCGTAGAAAAGCCAGCACGGAACCCAGCCAGTGTTCCCATAAGATGGTCCTCGCCCTCTTCTGTGGTTACACCACACTTAAAGTGTTGGGGTTCTTGTTTTCTCAGTGCCCTGAAGAGATAGGAAATTAGCAAGTCAACAATGATAAAGCAATCCCTTCTGGAACATGACAGCTCACACGGGTTGTGGGTGGTGTCCGGTTGCTTTCCTACTATGGGACAGAATAACGCACTGACCTGACCTGTCTTCTTCAGGCCTCTAAAGGCCAAATTCTCCCTTGTTCAACAAGCACCCTTTGTTTTTGGTGGACCTCGTGACCCCCTCATGATCCCCCTCCTCACAAGTTCTGCCTTTGTTCCACATCATGTAGCTTCTGCCCATTGAGCTCTGTGGAGGGCTGGTGGGCATCAGAGGAACAGGGACTCAGATGTTGGGGGTGACGAATCTTGCACAGCATTAAGACCATCAGAGCTTTCTCAGGCATACGCAAGCACCACCAAGCCCGTTTGAACATTGTTATACTATATTATTAGGGCAAATTGAACAAGACCATAATTTTTATACTACTTTTTTTGGAAAATCTAGTTACATAAACTTGCTCCTAGAACACATAGATAGGTGCATGAGGATATTGGCATTTAAATTCCCCACATCTGTGTGGACTTGGAGGCGTGCGTGTGTGTGTTTTCAATGAACAATATGTCAAGGAATGTGGCTCAAACACAAAGATCTATATGTGATTTTCTCAGTGTGGGCCCTTGGGTCTTGTGGTGTTGTAGCTACCTCAAAACAACAGGAAAGGTTTTGCTATGAATTTCCTGTTCCTGGGAAACTACATGGTTGGGGAAAAAAAAAAAAATCCTTCTCTTGAGAACTCTCTGTTTTGCCAAAATCAGAAGTCCCTGAAAAGATTATTCAAGCTCCCCCCACATCTTCTCCCCAACTCCAGAGTCTAATATTTTCTTTAAAAAAAAGGAAGAACGGAAGAGCACTTGTCAGTGGGTCTTTAAAATAGCCAGATGCATTGCATGTAGCCGTGTCAAACTTGGACTTGCACCAGCCCTGAGCATACTGTGTCGGTTTAGGAAGTGAACGGACTGCATGCACATCCACGGAGGGTACTCTGAAAAGTGGCTTCTTTCTGCTTTGTCTGAGCGGCTCCCACGTCCGCTCTAACCACGCTCTGCACCCCGAGACCTTCCCTTCAGCTCTGCAGGCTTGCAGGCCTCTGCTTGGTCTCCTGGGTGGCGGCTCTGCCTCAGCTGGTTGCTAGGAGGGCAGGACACGCGGGCATCTTGGGCTTGGAAGGGCGATTGAGATGGTTTATGTAATGCCTTATTTTATAAATGAACAAATTGCAGCTTAGGAGACTGAGTGGCTTGATGGGGCCACAGCCGGCCTATGACAGAGCAGGAACCAGTTGATCCACCCTTGGTGGCTCCGAGGCTATCGCTGCTGCATCATTAGCAAGCACTGCCAGGTGCCACGTCATCATAGAGCATCCAGGGGAGGCTGAAGCCACCAAAAGCCTGTCTGCTTCTTGTGGAGCTTGCACAGGAAGAGGGCCTCTTCTCTCCAGCCACCGGCTCCCGTCTCTTATAAAATGGTTGAGAAAATATAAGAATCTTCAGCCTTACTATTTAGAACCTTAAGAATATAAAGTTTGTGATCATTCAGATGCCAACACATAATTCTTGAAGAATAATAGCTTCAAGGTAAGCACTTATTTTCAAGATGATAAATACTTATAAGAGGAATTTTGTCTAAAATGAGGACAGTAATCCTTCTGAATCCACAGGAATAAGAGGGCATGATACAAAACCCCCAGTGGATGCCTGAAGCCTCAGATAGTACCAGACCCTAGACATAAGAGAGTAACAACCCATCACTACTAATAAAATAGAACAATTACAAACTGTACTGTAATAAAAATCACATGAATGTCATCTCTATCTCAAAATATTTTATTGTACCGTATATTTCTGTAACTTCATCATGCAATGTTTTTCATTATTGAGTCAAGAACTTTAACTTTTTGAATTGAAGAATGGCTTATCTTTGGCACACCCTCATGGCTGGTGTCACTACTCTTTGAGGCCATTGTTAAGTATAATAGGGGTTACTGAACCTGAGCCTGCTCTCCAGGAGAGTCATTCTGATGACTGAGGTGACCACCAGGGTGAGTAGCAGGTACAGGACTGAATGGGGGGGATTCGGTGGCTTACTCCTACAGCCATGCTCTTGGGTCTCACTCCCACCCATAGCTTTTCCGCCACATTCAAGTGCAGTATTAAGGTCCCCTCCAGTTAGACCTCCCTGAGTGCCCTCTAACCCGTGGCTTGGGTAGCCTCAGTGGGCAAGGGAAGTGTGGGCTTTTCTTTCTTGTTCTTGTTCTCTTTGGCTCTCTTCTCCTCCTCCATGTGGAATCAGGGCAGAGGGACTGGGGACCTGATGGAAGTGTGTTTACAGTCTCTGCGGCTGGTGTGCCGTGACCCTTAGCAGTGCACGCAGAGCTTGAGTCTCCTTGCACTGTGCTTCATCCTGGAACCTGATCTACCCTCCTATACAAAAGCAGTCCCTGGACCATTGTCTAGCACCTGCCTTTGGAGAAATTCTTTCATGAATGCTTAGTCACTTGCAATTTAGTTTCACATCAGGAAATGTTAGTGTGGCCTTGTATCTTAACCCTAAGTGCTTCCCTTTATTTCCTCTGAGCCAACTACACTTCTCTTTCCTGCAGGAGCCAGCTGTTTGTATTTGGGTCCCCAGAATACCAAGCTAGCTATAATGAGAAACACAAGTTCGACCTAAAAGTTTGGGAAGCTTTGCAAATATCCAGTTAGGGAGGAAGATGACCAACTGTCTTACCACAGGCCTGCCTGTCCCTAAGAGAGTGTCTGTTGGAGAGGTGGTGTCAAAGACCTCTCCATGCCTACACGGTCCTTCCAAAGAAGTTATTTTAAAATGACTGGTGTACGTAGTCCGGATGGAGTGGTAACTGTTGATTGCTTTCATCATGTTTTATGGAATCTTTTAAAAACTTTGCATGACTAATTAACACTGTACCTCTTACCCCAGCTCTGAGTTTTCATCAAGATTCTGAGGCAACAGGAGACATTCCATCTTGTTCTGTGCGTGGTTAAGGCCCACTGTGTTGACCATGTTTCTTGTCCTCATTCATGAACTCTATCTTTAAACCAGTCAATCCCGGTCCTACCGAGGACCTGAACTATACCATTGTTGAGTCGTCTGGTGAGAATTTAACTAGGTAAACTGGTTATGTGACTTGAGATTTCTGGGGCGCTCTTACAGGGGCTACTGATGTGGAGGACAGCCAGCCTCGCATGTTGGGGTTCTTCAACACAACCGGGGCAGTGCGTCTTACAACGTCTTTACCTTGGGTTGGACTTCCTCCCAGACAGGCTGCGCGCCTCGGGACTTCGTAGTCCTGGCGTTGGAGAAGGTGCTGTGAATGGAAACACTCCCGGGAAGTCTGGGTAATGGGCACCACGGCCCCTAAGGGCACAGTTGTAGGTCTCTAAAGACTTTGCCAAAGCCCCTTGGGAGGCTTCAGCAGCTTCAAAACACATGAAGGCGTATTGAAGGCACCTGTCACTCAAGTGTCATTGAGCCCTAGAAATTGCCGAGCTCTGGTAAGTTTTCTACACACAGATCTCTGAGGGTGAAGAGCCGGGGTGTCTGTCATAGGGCTCTGGCCATGACTTACTGGATTGGGGAAGACAACTTGGTTCATTCTAAGCCTGATCTTTTAAGAATCTGGAATTGACATGGAGAAATTGTTTGAACTGGGGCTAAAACTTGAGTGATATCAACTCAGGAGCTATGCATGGACAAGCAGAGCAGAGAGAGGGAAAGACTCTTGTTGTCTCCTAAGGGTTTCCAGAGTACTTACGGCTCTTGGTGTCCTTCTGGTGCATTTTCCTTTTAGACAAAGGACAGATCAAATTGACACCTGGTTCTATCTATCTGGGTGCTGGGAACGGAACCCCAGGCTTGGTGCAGGCTAAGCTTGTGCTCTATGACTGAGCCACACCCCTACCTCCAGCTCTGCCGTGTTGCTCGGGGCCATCTGGGTGGACTCTAAGCGCTCGGGCTTCTGTTGGTGTTGTGAGAGGAGGGAAGTAGGTGACAGAGAGGACTCGGCATTCGGCCTGCATGCTGAGTGGCAGACCACAGGCTCCACTGGATCCAGTCTAAGCAGAAAAGGATAAATGGAAGAGCATTAGAGAGTTCCCAGAGTCTCCGACCAGAGCTGGTCTCAGAGGCTCTGTGGCTGAAAACAGATCAACCAAGAATGATACATCCAGAGGAATTGTCTAGCTCGACCATGGGATGATTCCTAGAGACACCTGTGATGTTAGGGACTAAGGGACAGACACACTTCCACAGCCACCCCTGGAAAGGCCAAATATTTCTTCCACCACTTCCACTGGAAGAGCCACTGCCTGACTCATGGCCACCACTAGGTCTCACTGGGGCTGCGTGGGGGTGGGAATTACAGCAGCATCCCAACTAGGAGAAGGTACCGGAAATGCAGCTCTTTTGCCTTCCAGCCTGGGTTGGAACAGAAGGAAGGGGGGAATTCTCCAAATGCTTCCCAGACATTTATGAGAACTGTATGCATAATCCTATTTCAGCAGGAAGAGGGGAGGGGAGGGGCAGAGTGTGGACTCAGCAAGCCCCTGTAGATTTGCAATGGGAATAATGTATCAAATCTGTTAAATGGTTTTCTTTTTGCACTTCCCTTTGTGTGATCTTCCTGGGTCAGGACGGGAGGATGAAAGACATGACAACATAGATGTTTGCTTTTTGACTTTCCAAAGAGGATTTATATCCAAATAAGGACGATCATATTGAAAGCTACCCTTTACTGAAGGAGGAAAATAATTCTTTCTCATTCTCAGACCTCTCCTATACCTACTAAAAACCAGCCTGGGTGAGAGTCTTACTCTGAGCACAGTGTGAAAGGACAGAATA